TATTTGGTACATGAAAACGTTTTTCCGTTTTCATTTTCTGAATTTATATGATCTTATTATAAAACAAATAAGTTAGTTAGCAATGAATAATATAATATTAAAATGATGATAGAATTTGAAAATTTTAAAGTGATATTTTTAGTGCTTTTAGAAACCTTTTTTATTTGTGCTGATTATTCTATGAACTCATAATAGGTCCCAGTCAAAGCCGTTAAGATTTTTCAAAAAAACTTTTCTCTTTCGGGTGAGAATGACCACAGGTAATTTTGCAGAAATGTTCTCCTCCTTTTACTCGTGCTTCTGATAGGTTAAATAGCAAAAAGAAATTAAACATGTGAAAGGATAAGTGACTGGGCTAGTGTGTTGTGGGGATCATGCGGAATGCAGAAGCGGGGCAGAGATCGTGGGATCATGCGGAGTGCAGAAGTTGGCCAGAGATCGTGGAGGTTGGGAGAGCAGAAGTTGAGCGGGAATCGTGGGGGTTGATCCTAGGGTGTTGACTGTTTTCTAGGGATTCCTTTTTTGGGTTGCCATTGAGATCTTATAATCCTATCATTGCCTCCCCCTTTTTTAGAACCTTGTCCTCAAGGTTCAGGTACCTTTGGTCTCTCCGTTTAGCCAGGCTTCACAGGATCAACATTCTCTTCCTCTTCATTGCCTTCTATAAGTAATAGTTGGGATCAACGGCATCTGTGGCCAAAGGTAAACTTTTCGTTACAGTGGAAGCACAGACCTTGTGTTCGCCAACGCTGTGCCTCTTCCCAAGATAACTGCTTGGGAACTGCGACTATTTCTACTAGAGCTCGCGGAGTTTGGTCGGATAGGGAGCGTGATTGTGGGTCGAGTTGATTCCGCCTGCCCCAGTCTAGCCTGCCCAAGTCTAGCCTGCCCCTTAACGGCCCAACTGTTCCTCGCGCATGTGGGCCAGACTTATTACATCCTTCAAGGTCTTGGGCTTGAACATCCTTATTCCATCTGCTATCTCGAGCTAAAGCCCGCCCATGAAGGTGCCAATTAAAACCTTTTGGGTCCACCCGTGGACCCGGTTGTCAAGCCGTTCAAACTCCTTTTGGTACTTTCTCAACGGGCCGACTTGTTTAATTTTAGACAATGTCTCATCAAAGTCTTCAGCCTCTGTTGGTCCAAAGCGGGCCCAAAGTTCTTCTACAAATCTGGTCCATGTCACCAACTTCCCCTCTTCTTGATAAGTTCGGCGAAGCCATTGCCACCACTGGTTGGTTTCACCTTCCAAGTGAAAAGAAGCCAGTTGCACTTTCTGTTCGTCGGCAGTGGCTTGGTAATCAAAGAATTGTTCCACCCGACTGATCTATTCAGTCGGATCATTCCCTACAAAAATTGAAAATTCTAGTTTGGCAAGTCGGGAGTGGAAGGGGGAACGGTTACCTTCATTTCTTCCGTGTCCTTCGTCACGGGCAAGCTATGTCGGCCCTGCTCGGACTGGGGTGTTGCTGCTATAATCCTCTTGATTGGCTAGCAACGTCTCGATCAACCGTTTGAGGGTGTCCTCCATCTGGTTCAACTTATCCGCGACTCCCAGCTCCAATCTGCTGAAGCTATCTTGCAAAACCCCCACACTTGCTTCGAGTTGTTCAATCCTCTCTTTATTAGACATGACTTTGATACCAATTGATAGATTATAGTCAAAGCCGTTAATATTTTTCATAAACTTTTCTCTTTCGGGCGAGAATGACCACAGGTAATTTTGCATAAATGTTCTCCTCTTTTTAGTCGTTCTTCTAGTAGTTTAAATAGCAGAAAGAAATTAAACATGTGAAAGGATAAGTGACTGGGCTGGTGTATTGCGGGGATCATGCGGAGTGCAGAAGCTGGGCAGAGATCGTGGGATTATGCAGAGTGCAGAAGTTGGCCAGAGATCGTGGAGGTGGGAAGTGCAGAAGTTGAGTGGGAATCGTGGGGGTTGATCCTGAAGTGTTGACTGTTTTCTGGGGATTCTTTTTTTGGGTTGCCGTTGAGATCTTATGATCCTATCAACCCACACTTCCTAAGTAGTTCCATGACATGAATTTAAGAAATGAAAATTCTTATACCTAACAGAGCCTTAATGCAATGAACCTGTTCCTTGTAAGTTTAAAATTTTGATGTTGAATACAATTAACTATATCCAACAAATTTGTAATAAATGTGATTTTTGCTTATTCAGCACCTTAATCACCTCCAGGCTCCAGGAACAAGGAAGTTCGCTGACGAGAGTGCTCCTCACTGACATCATAAAATAGCATGACAGAGAATTACAGGCAAACAAAGTATTAATGAATAAGTGCATACAACTATATGCTGTAACTCAATAGGCATGAAAAAAAAAAAAGATAAAGCAGAGAATCAAAGTTAAAACATGCACTGTAACTTTGAGAAAAATAATACCAAGATACATGGCAAGACGATAAACAATACTCTAGCACTGAAAATGTGAGTAATTTTCAATTAATATACAACGTTTTCACAACTCTGTATCAGCATTCTACTAGAAAAACAAACAACCATAACCTCCAAGGTGAAGAAGTTGCTGCACCTGAATAAAATGGACAAGTTCCACCTCGAAATGAACTTCCGCAAAATCTTCTACCATCGGCATGAAAGGAGACTGAGTCAAGTACTGATTAGATACGTATATTACAGCCTTTTCTTCCCGGTTCATTGTTCCTATTCCCATTTCAAGGCCTTTAGGCACCTATTCTAGGCATGAACAAAGATAAGCACCATGATTTTAAGATACAATTCAAGATTAAAGCAATTAACAATAGCATTTCCTACAGCACCCTCACATAACTCAAACAATGATGAGTTTTATTTCAACTTACACAGGCTATGTTTAAAGAGTCTGAAAAGCAGTCATTGAAAAAGGAAGGATAAAACGAGCCATAAATTATTAAATCAACAATGTAATTGGCAGATAACCAAGGAAGTCTGAAAAGGCATGCCATTTGGTGAAGAAAACTGAGCACAGAAAAAAGAAAAAAGATGGAAAAAGTGAGAATGTGTTGCTGACCTCACATTTTCCAAATGTAAAGAAATAGGGCTCTTCAGTGCGTGACATAATCGACTTTCCATCCCCTGTCATTGCTGATATCCTGAAAAAAAACCGTATTATCAGACCTCAGAGCATTCCAATTTGCAGCAGAAAGCAAACATGATTAAAGAGGTAAAGGATCGAGGACAACTTCCTACCATGCTTTTACTTCATAAGGCTCTCTAGGACATTCCCAACCCTTCCCTTCATTTATTATCTGTAGTTGAGGACTATTAATAAATGTTACTTCAAGAAAGCTGCACAGAAATATTCCATAAATAGACAACAACTCCATCTAAATAGCAATACCATTTGTTTTAGAAACTAATTGCTCGTTACAAAACGTATTGCCTCTGAAACATTGTCCCTCTCCCAACTTTCTAAACACATAATAGCATTTCCCACCATTATGATTGATCTACCATCATTGCACTTATCATCTAATAAATGTCGAAAAATGGCACGCATATTTATTCTTTCCAACTTTGGTTAAACTGATCTCCTACTCAGCCGCTGTATGCCTCTTGTTCTTAAAGCAAACAGAAGGGATGAAAATAAACTAAACATTCAAGGGAATGCAAGAATTTCAAACTTCATCAGGCAACAAAAAACATGAAAATTTACTATCGTCTTTAAATTTACTATAAATATTATCTAGCACACCTTCTAGTTCAAGTACCTTCTTTAGAACTCCCAAATCATCGCTAACAACCTGGAAATCATCACAAATAAAATCCAAATCACTAAATGGGACTAACTGAATCATAGTGCCAATACTTTTTCAGTTTTCAATAAGAAAACCTTAGCTAAAGAAAATAGCAGCAACATTAACCAAAGTGAAAGCATAATCCAAAAGGAACACAAAAGCAATCCAAATTCAAAATATTTATAAATTTTACAAGATATAAACACAGAACTAAGATCTATTAAAGAAAAACAAGAGTATTTGAATTTGCATCACAGACAGGGAAGCAAATTATATCATGCAAACAAAAAAGATAAAATGCTTCAAATGTAGCATTCTTGCCTTGACTTTAGAAAAATCAATCAGTTCAATTTCAAAATGAAGCTCATCATCTTTAGGAAAACTATTTGGTGCTTGAACTGGACAATCATCCTCCCCATAGTGCATTTGAGGTTTCATCTTGAACTGAAACAAGAGAAATCAACTGTTAAGAATTAAACCAAAAAGTGAAACGAATTAAGTAAAGAATTATCTCTCTTTTTTCAGAAGTTAACTGATATATAACTCCAATCTGCATGTTTCTGGCGCGCACATTTTACCACAAGATGCAAAAGAAGCAAATGTGTGTCAATTAAAATGCAGACGCATAAATGGAAGTTTATAATGTAACATACCTCCGTCGAAATTTAACGAAATACATTGAATTCATAGTACTCCCTACATTGTTCCACTCGGATCTCAATTTTCTTTTTTCTTTATGCAAGTATGCACATTAAGAGTTTCTGAAAGTTTAGATGAGAATACCATTGCCACTTCACCCTTCAACATTGTGGGAATACATTCTAGCAATCCCAGTATCAGTTTGCTCTTGCCCAGAACATGTCTTATCGGTATACCCTTGCCTGTAACGTGAAGTAAATTTTTATATCAATTGCATGACCAAATAACGCAAACCCAACACATCTTGTTCCAGATCCCTTTATTACCTAATAAGGGCAAGTAATAATATTTCTACTGCAATTTACAATTTTTTTTTTTGAAAAAAAGAACCATTACCACCATATTCTGATCTTGTGGACTCAACAACTACACCATCCAGTGTTCGTACTGTGCAGTGATATATTACCTGTAGAAATAAGAAGCACCAAAGTTTACAATTTTTCACTGATTTCTCTACTTTGGAAAACCCTCTTCCTTCTGTCCTTTCTCAGAAAATATATTACCTGATCACCATCCGAAGGTTTTGATTCCCCTCCACCAGGTCTCATCAATGCTTTCATCAAACTCCCAGGCACAATTTTCTTTCTCCTATTCATGAAATTATTACTTTTAGAAAATCAACTACACTATGAAATTCATTTATTTCTTCACGTACTATATTCTAATAATACGAAGAAAATAAATTGAACTTTTTTATTTAATTTTTACGGGGAAAAGGGAAGTACACACCTCTTCTCTTCATCGGATTTTTCTTTCTTCTTCTGCGGCACGTATTCCTGCTCAGCATCTCCTTCAACAGCCATCTTCGATTAGCTTCAACTCTCACAATGACGACCTAATAAAGAATCGAGAGAAATCAAAAGAGGATCACAGTGAACTAAAACATAGCTAGAGTTAAGTTGAAAATATAATTAACACATAGACTAACTCTGCAATGACGTAAAAACCCTACTGTGAATTGAGTCAAAATTAGCTATTCGAAGTTCATTTCCATAACAGACACATTCGTCTTCAAGTGTTTGTCCTTCTTTGCTTGTTTGTTCAACTACCAAACAAACAAGCAAATTCGAGGAACCCAATAGAAATCCAGCGATCAAACCGGAGCTAAATAAATTTTTGGAAGGAGGACCGGACCGAAATGAGGAAATCGATCCGGTTCGGTCCGATGAAAATCGGTCTGTGTAGCATTTAAAGTTTACACATTCCACGGCAGGACCGAACCGGTGGTTGACTTGGTTAGGATTGGACGAAAGGGCCCAGATCTATAGAGAAGAAGACGGGCCGTGGCCCAGGTTTCAATGGACTGTGAGTTGTACTTGGGCCATGAGACCGATTTTTTGATTAAAAGAAAAAGTCTTACCGAACTAAATTTATTTTTATTAAAAATTCAAATTAATATTGTTTGTACTATTTTATTATATTATTTAAGTTTTAATATATAATAATTTATGTTTTAAATTAAATAGGGCGGGTCATGAGTTTTAAAAGAGTGTCCCTAAAAGTAATGATGGGTTTTATATTTGCTTCCAAAAATAAGTAGGTATACATATATATATATATATAATACATAAATGAAAGCATATGATTTTCACTAGTAATGGGCAGCACGACCTAAAAGCCTAAAACTTTTAAAACCCACCAAATATAGTATTTCCAGGTCGTGTCACCAATAATCCTAGTTTTCAGCTCAGGATCATTAAGACTGTTTTAATTAATCAATAATTAAGCTTAAGATGAATTAAGTATATTAAATATGGAGGATGAGATTGTAAATTGCATAATGATGGGAGCTTGTTGAACAAACACGATTAATGTTTTATGGGTTTGGTTGGTTAGTTGAGCAACCGTTGAAATCATAGCAACCTTTTATTCGGACAATTGAATTTTTGAGTATGAAGTTAGAACCATTTAATTTGGAACAAAATCAGTCAAACCCATCACCCAAAAAATAAAAATTAAATCAGTACAATTTCTGAATCTTCACCAATTGATATTTGTCTCTCTATATTTGCCTAAAGAACAGAAACTGAAACCTACAGAAGCTGACAAAAGTGGGTTCTTGTTCTATCAAAATTCGCAAATGGACGTTTTTAAGCACCGTTTCGAGACATCATTAAAAACGAGTTTAGGAGACATAATGAGAATTTTGAAAAAATTAATAGTAAAACTTTGGGTAATCGGCCATAATTAAGAAAAAAAAAAAAAAAAAAAAAAAAAAAAAGGAAGGGCTTTTTGGAGAGACAAAATTAAAATGTGAAAGAAACAAAAAAGGGAAAAACACGTAAAGGAGAAAACACGAGCCGCACGCGAAAATCAACACATGAAAAAGAAACGGAAGGTTGACCAGGTCAAACCCCGCCTGTACATACATACATACATAACGACGGACACGTCAACCCACGTCGGTGCAAGCAAAACTTCCTCAACCTCTCAAGTAGGCGCGTGGGAATAAAGGCGGTGGTAACGCAAAGGCACCGCCAAAACGCTTCGTGGTGGCCATCTACTCTCGCGACACGCGCATACGGCAACCGTCCCGCTGCCCGACGAGTTCCGAGAAAAGTTACAAAAATATATATATATATTTATTTAATAACATTTTAATTTTCTTTTCTTAAATTATTATTCTTCCCTACTAAGGAATTATAATTACATACACCCTTTTATTTCTTTTTTTGGGTATTATCTACTTTTAGCCTTGATTAATTCTTTTTCCAATTTTAAATTATAATTTGTTAATTGTTATACCCAAAACCGAAGTACACATTAAAAAATATGGAGAGCCAGTAGTAGGCCTGGGAGAGAGCAAAAGTCACATCTAGAATAATAATGCCTTCATTCTGTCTCCCCTCCATTCCCTTCTTATTCAATCTTTTGTCTTTTAATTAAAAACTTTAATCAAAACCCTAATTACTACTTTACCAAACTAATTGAAAATTCGTCCTTCCAAAATCACCCAGTTGGTTTTCTTTAAGGAATAAATAATAATTAAGTGAAACCATTTGATTTTATTAAAAAGTTCGAGGGGCGGACAGGTTGGGAGGAGGAGATTCATTCTACACAAAACACCATGTCATGTTATGTTAACTGGAGAATGAAAGTCATTTTCCAGGAAAACAAACATACAAAATAGAAACCCTAATTCCTATTCTCAATTTCCCCAAATCTTATTTCCCCAACAACAAAATACAAAACACCAAATCCCCCCCCCCCCCCATCGACCACTCTGTTTCAATACATTGAGCCCAACCCAGATGCACAAAAACAAACAACAAAAAAACAAAAAAGCTGAAGCTGCTGCTGCTGCTGCCGCCGCCGCCGCTGCCGGATGCGCCCATATATCATTTGCCACTACAAAGTTCTATTTATTATTATTATTATTATCATTATATTATTATTATTCCCTAAACCTACCAGAAAAAACGAACCATTTTCTTCTTCTTCTTCTTCCTTTTGACTCTCCTTTCCTATTAATACCTATTTTTAACCTTTTAATACTTACTACTGCAACTCCTACTGTTTCTATATCATCTCTGTAATTTCCACCATTTCTTTTTTTTTTCCCTTCTCCTTTTTGACCCCTTTCTTCCTATAAACTCCTAAAGCACCCAACACCCACTGCTATATGAAATCAGTAAGTCCATTCTTGCGGTAACCGGATCTCGTAGTTGACTGCTGGCTGCGCTCTGATTCCACGTTTCTGATGAGAAATGCCGTTGTTGTTTCCAACCCTTAACGAGGCGTCTGCCGAGAAGAATAAAACAAACAAATTTGAGTTCTTATCAACTTTAACAATATTAACCAAGAACAGGAACAGGGTAAAACAGGAACAAGGTAGAACAGGAACAGGGTAGAAAAGATCTTACCAATTTCGGTGTTAAAGTTGCCATTGAAATTCAAACGAGGTTGAGGCTGAAGCTGAGGATGCACACCCATTTCTTCCACATTCAAGTTCAGCGCCTGCACCACTCTCGCCGGGAGTAAAACAGTCGAGCAGGCTGTGATATTACATGCACAAACGTTAGCTCGCTCTATAAATAACATTAACCGAGGGAAGAAAAGAACAGCTATTAACTGATTGATATTCACCAAAAATAAAAATATTCATCCTAAACAGTGACTAGATCTGCCTACAAAACAAGCATATGATCAACAAATTTCATACCCATCGAGGAAAGAAATCACTAAAAAATCCCCCTAATCTCTTCAAAAAGAAAACGCATTCTGCAAAACGATGCAGTGTTTAAGAACCTGGGAAATGAGATTGGGAAGTTTAAGAACCTGGTTTCTTCCGCGTTTCGGTAGATGTGCCTACTCGGCGGGGCAAGAAGACACCAGTGCCAGTACACTCTCGTTTGGCCGCAGGGTTTCCAAGAAAAACAGCCCGCATGCCTGACCCGTTTTGCTGCTGAGGTGCCTGTTGCAATGGAGGCCATGCAGATGGTGACAAACCCAGAGGACGGCCACTTGCCCTGTTTGCAATGAACTCAATGTTTCTTCCTCTGTTAGGGACCATTTGATATTGTCCAGTTCCTTTAGACCACGCAGGTGGGCGTAGCTTCATCATCTGCTGCTGTTTCAGTTGATGAAACTGTACCAAAAGAAAACAAATATTCAATTAGTATTAAACATAAAAAGATGCACATGCACAGAGCTCAAATAAGCCTAATCTACTGGTAAAGTGAACAGAGGACTCTGTTTTGAGTGGAGGGTCTTTACTTGAGTAGCCTGCATCTTCTGATGAGAAAGCGACTGGTAGGCATAGTAACCAACATCAATATTTGGGTTCTTTGCAGGAACGGAGACAGGCGAAGGTTTTCCTGGGGGGCCCAGAAGACCTCTGCCATGGTTGTATCCGTAAGATTTCTCGTTCATTCTCATCCTGGCAACTTCTCCTGCAGCTGCGTAAAGCAGATCCCACGCTCCTGGCGGTGAGGAGACCCTAGACTGACAATTTGGGCTTCCTTGGTTCGACCCCTGCTTGCAGCCACAACCACTCCCAACCGTGCACAGAGTCGATTGCGGGGAACCGGACATAACACGGCCCTGTAAAAAATAAATAAACAAACACAAACAAATCAAAATAGACAAATGAAAAATAGAAGACGAAAGGAAAACCAAACATGAAGAGATCGATAGGTGTAAACAAACAGAAAGAATTGTTGAGTTTACCTTGGCGTTCTCAGATTGGTAAATGCGTTCATAGGTGGCAAAATCATCGTCGAGAGTTGAGTGAGCCATTTTCCGTGTTAAACCAGCGATGTAATCGTCCTCGTCGCTCTCTGACTCGGTGGAACCGACCACCGATTCAACCGGAGAAGTGAGATCAGAGGAAAACCCAAAAGAACCGAAGCCATAAGGAAAATCATAGGGAAACAAAGACTTGGGGGCTTCAGTATCCAAACCAAACCCATTCTTCTTCTGGGTTTTGTTGCTGCTTCTAAGACCATCAGAGCCGATATCATCTTGATCAGTGAGAAAATCCGGAGGCAGCCAAAACTCGCCGTCTTCTATACTCTGCGCCATGTGATGACGATGATGATGGGCGTGAGCGAGGGAGAGAGTAAGAGGTTTGAACGTAAATACAGGAAGAGAGAACACGAGAAATATGATGGACGTCGTGGGGGAAGGGGGTTTTGAGGAGCTGAGTAATGGGTTGTTTGCTGCTCGGTTAAGATTTAATAATAAGCAGCACAGTTGGATTTGCTGGATTGTGCAGGCTCCGGGGCCCAGTCAAGGCTAAAAAGAAATGAGAGAGAGAAAGATAAAGAGAGAGAGAGAGAGAGAGAGAGAGAGAGAGAGGAGAAGAAGAAGAAGACGAGGGTATGAAGTAATATCCAACCAGGCCCTTTCAGTACAGTCTGAAATCGACTAACTACTGTGAAGAAGAGAAAGGGAGTTGGGTTTATGGAGAGTGAAGAAGAAAGAGGGGGGGGGGGGGGGGGGACAGAGAAATTGGTATCTATAGAGAGAGAAAAAGAAACGGGCCAGTAAAATCCGCAGTCAAATTCCACTCGCTTAGGAGGGAGGTGATGCACGCGCCCAGTTAAAAAAAAAGCATAGTGGAGGGGGAAGGTGGCCCCACGCCATGCAGAGAGAGGAGTTGCAAGCCAGGAAGGCAAAAGTGGGGCCCAGTTAAGTGTGAATTGGCATAGCATGTGAGAAAGCAAGCAAGGCCAAATTAGGGTTTTTATTAATTTTTTTTAAAAAAAAAAAAAACGTTTGCGTTACAGTTACTCGGGAGCCTTGTAAGGTGTGACATGTTAGTGGGGCTGGGCGTGGCTAAAAAACCGGCGCGCGTAACAAAACGACGTGGCTGCATTATGCAGCCACTACAAACTAGGATTTTAATTTCCCCTCCATTTAATTATATAATTACTTTCTCATTTTAAATTTTTGTAATTAATACAATATATTTTCAATTAATTATAAACTAATTATCTCTATCACAAATCTTAATTTTAAATCTTATGAACCCCAAATTCCTTTCAAGTTAGAAATCTAACAAAAAAACCAACATGACCCAAAACGGTGCCCAAAATTAAAGACAAAAGCATAAAATGGATAAATGGGAATTGCAAAACGGTGCGCACAATCCGCTGTTCTCATTCTCCTTTGTCTTAGGGAGGAACAGAAGCATAATTGATTGATTTAGGGTCAGCATCAGTGGTAATTGGGTGTGTTTACTGATTTACCCTCCCTAATTTGTCAAATTTACAGAGCTCACGGTTCTTACAGTCTCTTGTCAATTAGATCCTCTAAATGGAAATGAAAACAAGGACGTGTACAAATCCCTTTTCAGCACAGAGGCTGTGCCCCAAAATCAATCCTCACTGCATAAAATCTTCCCCTACCAGACAATTATGGGGTAAAAAATTATTCACCCCTGTTAAGAAACCACATCTATTTTTTACTTTTTACATGCGTCTGTGAAAAGTAATAGTAACCATTGGGTGGTTTAGCAGCTCCATTTTGGAAAGTTTCGGCAGGAAAGGAGAGATTAAAACTAAGAAAGTTGTGGAGGCAGAGCTGAATTTGCAGTCCTCTTTAACTTTTCATGAAAATATTTTCAAGGACCAGACATTTGTCAATTTGCCAACACTACTAATTAAAAATCTCTTTGCTCATCTCAACGACCCATTTGTCATTATTCACAAGGGATTTCAATTACAAATTCAAATTTTAAGAGCAGCCAAAATTATGTCACACCCACAAATTAATTAATAAAATCCACAATTCAACATCCCATAATATATACATACATATATATATATGTACGTATCATATTGTTGTAGTTACTTGAAACCACGTAAAAGTTTTGGTTAATAGACTTTGATTAATTTGTTTCCTAATTTGAATTAGAATTCAAATCTAAATTTTAAATATAATGCTAATTAATTGAAATTTTGAGAATACTTTAGCATGTAGATTATGGAGTTAAATTAAAGAGGGAAGAATATAGAAACGAGATAACTTGGTTAAGGAATCTAATAGCGTCTACTTGAAACAATCTTTTACCAACAAATCTAATTATTTCAATGCAAATTATCCAAATCTTTTGAAAATATATAATAATAACAAAATTAAAAGTTGGATTCGTTGAATATATGTTACCAAACACCATGTTGAAATTGGATTTGGAAGCAAGAATATTTCAATTGCATCAATTTAATGATGTGGGAATCTTGACCATACCTCCACATTTAAAAAATAAAAAAAAATAATATTTGTAGACTATACGATAATCAAATTTGAATGTAATAATCAATTTAACTTAAGTTACTCAATATTAACATTGATACAAGAAAATGTATTTGTTACTGAGTGTTTATAATTCAAGACAAACTGAAAAATGTTTGATTAGATTGAGCATAATTTTATTCTAAAATTTTAATTAGATTCAGTTTAATTTTTATTATAAAATGAGAAAATAAATTTTATTTAAAAATAAAAAATATTTATATATAAATTAAAAATATACTATTACTTATTTTCACGGTTCAATAATTGTTATATTTATATTTTTTTTTATTTTACAGTAATATAAATTAGATATCACTGAATAGATAATTGATTAAACTGAAATGTGAGCAAATATTTATTTTGAATATAGAGAACATAAATAAATAGATAAAATAATTAAACTCAAATTTAAAGAAGGATGTACTATGATTATATGGATGACAAATATCTCAATATTAATTTCAATAAAATGATGCTGGCTTTAACATAGGAGTATGTGATTCTGGATGATGTATGTAAAGAGGATATGGTTAATACAAAAAAAAACCAATACAACAGACTGATGGAGTTTAGAGGAAGATAATGATATTGAGAGCACAAATAAAGAGATAGAATAATCAAACTCAAATTTAAAAATGAATACATTATTATTATCTAGATTATAGATATCTTAATATTAAGGTGGTATATGAAAAACAACGATTATAAACAACTCGAATGATAACACTTTTTATTAAATTGTTGGGAAATAGTTTGAATTTTTTTACTTAGAGCAATGATAAGATAATTGTTAGCTATTAAAGACTCATATTAACTTATTGATATGTTACATTACCAAGTTTTTGCACAAGAATGATTATACATTTTACTCTTTCAGGGGAACCCGTGGTCTATACATGGTCATTATTTAGCCAATAGACCATGGAGTCCGAACTTTCAATTTTAATATTGCATCAATTAACAAAATTATGTCTTAGATTAACTTTCAAGGACACAGTATTAAGTATTTCAATCAAATATTTATAAATAGTAAGTTACGTGTGATATTTGAAAAAAAAAAAAAAATTCCTATGATTTGCTCTCACAACCAGACCATGGTCGATATGTGGTTATTATTTGGCAATCAAGCAAATACTATTTCCATTGATAAACTACCTAGAATGATGACATACTTGCAATTAGTTCAACTTATACTTAGTTATTCAACCATCAATATGCCAATTGATTATACCTATAAATTTATTTAGAAAATCAATGCTTCTCAAAAAATACAAGAGTTTTTTTTTGCAATTATATCATAATAAGATTCTCACAAATGAAGAATTGTATGTCATAACTAGATTCTAAAAAAAATATATGTAGAATTATATAATGGCTAAACAACATATGTAAATATTATTTCAAACAAATTATCAATCTTGCATTTGTTTGAACTTAGAAGAAGAATTAAGTAATTAGAGTATGACATATTAGGCTCCATATTTATGTGATTATCTAGTTACTTTTGGAAGAGGCACAATAAGAGGGTATTGAGGTAACCATAAAGTTTGACAATGTTTTGTCATATAGAGCAGGGGATATATTGAGAGACTAAACAAATCAATTTTTTTTACTTTACAAATGTTAATGGATATGTTTGAAGCTTTAGGTATTTGGTTTCGTTAAGAAACACTTCAAGAAGAATGGGTGAAAATGGTGAGGTGATTTTGTTATTAGTATGGGTATGACTTTTTCTATGTTTATGAGAATGTTAAGACTAATGATGAGCTTATGTTAATACGGACTAAAGGGTACAAATAAGTTATTATTTATGTAAAATCAATATAAACTTTGAGTCACTTGAAGTATATGAAGTAATTAAACGATTGATATTAGAACATTGTGGTAGAACT